CGGCAGAGAGAGGAGGACACAGAATCTGAAGCAGGCGCCAGGAGCTGAGCTGTCAGCACAGAGTCCAACACGGGGCTCAAACTCACGGACCGTGAGATCATGACCTGAGCCAAAGTTGGACGCTTAACTGAGTCACCCAGGCACCCCTCACCTCTAACTTTAAAAAAATTTTTTAATGTTTATTTTTGAGAGAGAGAGAAAGAGAGTGTGAGTGAAAGGGCAGAAAGAGAGGGAGATACAGGGTCTGAAGCAGGCTCCAGGCTCTTAGGAACTGTCAGCACAGAGCCTGATGTGGGGTTCAAACCCACTAACTGAGATCATGACCTGAGCCGAAGCTGGATGCTTAACCAACTGAGCCACCCAGGGACCTATCACCTCTACCTTTAGCACAGATGTTCTTCTAACTACAACCTAGAAATAGTCTCAATCTTTCACTTGCAGGATATGAACAGCCATTCATTGACCCTCCTCTTGTTAGCAAAATTCTATTCTCCCTTGGTTTCAAGACAACACATTTTTCTGATTTTCTACTCTTCCAATTGAGTATTCTTCCTCTTAACTAGACCTTCTTCCTAATTACCAAACACCTAACCCAGCAGCATACCCTGTCAATTCTATCTTCAATACGTATCTCAAACCCATCCACCTCTTTCTATCTCCACTGACCCATTCAACATTATCTCTTGCTTGAATTATATTGTAATCTCTCAGCTACTCTACCAGTTATTGCACCTCTTCAATTCCACACATTTTTGCTTTAGTTTGGATCATGTCACTGCTCTGCTGAAAATTTTCAAAAACTTTCAAATGCACTTTAAAAATCTAAACCAGTTAGTTACAAACCCGTAAGCAGCACTCAACCAAGTATTATTGGATGAATGAATAAATGTGGACAATTCAACAAGGATCGGTCTTATGCTTTATTCTTTTCTTGATTTCTATCTACTCCCTTGAAAGAGGTCCCCTCTTACAGCTAAAAGTAGCAATGATTCTCAAATTAGAATCTTTCATACCAACTCTTACTGTCTCTAGTTCAGTTGTTCATTTTAAGACATTTACAATTATCTTATCATTTCAAAGCCTAAGTCGGGGGAAGAGAAGGTATAAAACAGTATATAGTATGCTACCAATTATGCCAGTAAAAGGGAAAATATATATGTGATTGCATGCCTACTCATTCACACACGCATAAGACCTCTAGGAAGATATGCAAGAAACTGGTAACACTGGTGGCCTCTAGCAACGGAAAGCATATGGATGGAGTCCAGGGTGGGAGAGACTTCACCAAATACTTTCTGAATTTTTAACAATGTGACTGTATTATCTACCCAAAATAGTTTTTTGTTCTTTTTTTTTAAATAAACAAGCAAATAACCAAATCATTAATGTAAACCTTTCTTCTCAACTTCTCAGTTCCTGGAGAGAACCATCATTTTCCTGGCCCAAGACTCTATAAACACTTCTAGTGACCCTTGATTCCTTCTCTTTCATATTTAATCATTCACCAAATCTTCCAGCACTTTCTTGGAAATATACTAGAGCTCTTTTTCTTCTTTCTAATTCCATTTACTATACTGCAACAGACTTTAATTTTTTCTGCATCTGAATTATAGTAAATAGTCTTGCTACTCCAAAGCTGTTTCCCTTTCCACCCCCAATTCATTATCCACGACACTGCCACACTTGCTTCCCAAACACGGTATCACTTTCATCATGTTAAACCCCCTCCTCAAGAATCTATAATAGCTCCTGTTTGTTTAGCTAAACAAATGTAAAAATAAGAAACCTCTGCTGCAAAGAGGCTTAATAACTTTTGTGTCAGGTGTACCATTTCCTTCAGCAGACAGGACCAGGGAGAGTGAAATTTTTCTTAATGATTCTAGCTCAAATCTTCCTTCTTTAATTTTCTACTGCCCGAGTCTGTGGGATAAATTGTTTTTATAAATTTTGTGTTGGCACATACATGCTGTATAATCTCAGTCAAGAAACTTGACCTTTCTGGGCCTTAACTGCCTTATCTGTGGAATGCTTTCAATAAGGACTAGATTAAAACCATTTATCAGTTGTTTTATTATCATAAGGTAAATGTTTCACCTGTTATTATCTTGTCTCCCAAAAAACCCATGGGGACTTCCTTACACTTCTTTCTTAAACCCAATTAACACCCAATGGTATTACATATAAAAGGGTACACATCCCTATGACTCTGCTTTTGATTTAGTCAACATCAGTAGGGCTGATTCTAAATAACTTAAAGTTTTCATATGTATCATCAGGCACTTTATTTCATGTTCTACTGCCTACAGTAATCAAGAAAGTGTTGTGAATCAATGATGACCTATTGATATGGGGTCATTTCACATTCAACTCAACGCATTCTAACTTATTTTGAGCCCATAAATCAGAACCTGGCTCATTTTAGAACTGTGTAATGTTAAAAAAAGAATGTTAAATAATTTTCTTTGAATTTATCCAATGCATTCTGTAGCAATACGTCCTATAAACTATGACATGTCATTCACTCTAGTCTTTTTAAAATTAAAAACCCACTACTGATCAATATATTTCATATAAATTTTGGAAATGAATACTTTTCTGGGCCAATTTATTGAATAACTTAAATGATGACATTAAAAAATAAAATTCTAATGAACACAGAAAAACATCTATGTGTTTGGAAATCTCAATTTGTATAATCTGGCAAAAAGTACAAAATGAACAATGTTTTTGTGAAAAAATGAAAAACCATTATGTACAACAAACTAAGTTTAAAACAATCCCTAAATTGCTCATTGATTCTATTAGAAAAGTGTACTCAATTTAAACAAAAATAAAGAAAATAAAACAAGTGACCCTATTTACACATTTTTCAATTTTAGATACAGAGCTTTTCCATATTACTGTCAGTGCCAGTGTTCTCTTATACTTTAATGTTCTTTAGTAAAAGTAATTCACTTAGAAAAAGGTTCTTAAAAATCCTAACGTTATATATTTAAACGTGATGAATTATTTTCCCAACAGCATGAATTTTTTAAAATAAGTACTTTTTTCTCCAATACTTTAGCTTTCTAGGAGAGTAATATTACAAAGAAAGATATGTTTTAAAGTTTCTAATGAACCATCATGTATTTCTGGACTAATGTTGGAGGACTATTTTATACACAAACCACTATCACATGTGATCTTTTCAATAGCAACAACAGTTAAAGAATCTTATACACAATCTGAAAAGAATCCACATTATAATTAATTTGTAGGGAGTCACATTAAAAACATAGTTCCTGAATATTTTATATTCATACAGATAGGAGGGAAAAAGATTACAAATTGGAATTTCTTTGCCCACAAGCAAAGCAGCAAAAAAAAAAAAAAAAAAAAAAAAAAAAAAAAAAAAAAAAAAAAAAAAAAAAAAAAAAGTACAAAACAAAAAAGGTAACTATCTGGTAAAATTCAGTGCAAAGACAATCATCTGCTTGGCTGACTTAGAAATTAAATTTACTTAAGTATCCAAGTTGTAGGAAACATTTTCAAGTGTTCAATACAGGACAAATGTTTGGTTCTCCATCACAAAGACACATAATATTTTCTAAGCAATAAGAAAAAAACATTAATATTGAAAAATTAAGTATTTCAAAGAAGTGGTTAAGAATATATTGCACATGCAAAACAACAGTTTAACAGTAAGATTTTTACTAATAACGAGCTGTGCAACAGACATGTTGTCACTCCTCCAACTGTGAAGTATTTATTTCTGGGCTTCCAAATTTTCACTGACCTTGAAGAAAGTAGGTATTGATGGTGTGAATATAATCCTAAAGTAACTTATCTTTTCCTAGAAAACTCTCTGCCACATTCATTTTACACACCACACCATACCCACACCCACCTAGAAATAATCTAAATGTCTAATATAGAATACTACACAGTTAAAAAAAAA